AGGTCTGATCCACAGGGGAGTGAAGATGCAGTCACATGGTAACCGATGACCGATAATTGGTTCATATGCCATTTTTTTCCCTTTAGATCCTGGATCCCATGTGCACCATTGGTTTGAAATCAGGGTTTCCAACTCCCATAGGTGGATCCTCCATATCCACCAACCCGCTCAAAGCTCAGGACATTCACTTTTCCTCCTCTCAATTTCGTAAACAACGCAGTCACCACGAGAAGTCAGTGAGTAGGACTTTTCCGGCAGTTGCTGTATTCACGTGGCCATGTGAAATCACTTTGAGAGAGAGAAAGGGCTGACTCTCCCTAATCTCGACCGTACCAGGGCATTCGGGGGGTTATGGTTTTGTACAACTATCCACTTGAACTGTTGAGAATCGAATTATATTACAATATATGGAAAATCTATCTTACTTAACTTTTTACAGTTACGTTAGAAGATAATAGCTAACATTTTTTTAAAAAAAGGACATCTGTACTTATCGGTTTTACTAAATAGAGAAATAATGCTCAATATGTATATTATTTATGACTAGTCAACATTTATGAAAAGATAGGTGATATCACTTTATTTGTTCAACTATTGTATCACACAATACAGTTTCTACTATGAGTTTGATCTAATTCATAAGGCTTTTTAATGCTTCTTGCTTAATTGATATATCTGAAGAGATTTTTTTGCAGATTGATTAAAATTATTCTTGCAATTTTACATAGAATAATCTCATTTGGGGTTAAGCATTCTCCATGAGACCTAGAGATCCTGGGGTCAATCCTTGGGGGATTGGTAGGTGCATACTTTTGATAAATTCAGTGCTAGAATGATATAATTGTTCAGTTCTCTTTGATTTTCAGTAATAAGATTTAAACTAGCATACCATATAGCGGAGAGTGCTGAAGGCAGTTAGCAAGGTGTGTGGTGAATCTTTGGAAATCATAAATAATATGGTTGTGGATAGACATCCAAAGTCATGCAAACTACTGGCAGGTGTTATCATATCGGATACTAACCATCCCCTTCACTCATATCTTTCTCCTTGTATATCTTCTGGTAGAACGAGACGTTATTACATTGAAATCCATGCACGCAAGCAAAAGTATAAAAGTTCTATAATACCTTACCTAGCAAATATACTTTGTGACGAACAGGTTGTTAGACTTAACCTAGTCAATAACCTGCATTCTTAACATGTCTCTAGTTTGGAAATTTGTACAGTTTTTTTTCGGATTTCTTTCAAACCTTTTCCTTTCTTTTTCGTTATTGTTGTTTTTTTTTTTGTGAGCGAATCTTGTTGAAATATCTTGTGCTGAGAATTCTATATTGTACCAAAATATAATATTGAATAAAGCCATTAATAATAATAACATATTTAAGTATTAAAGTATTTCTATGAAGAAAACTTCTTTTTCGACAATACCATCTACTTAATCTATAGAATCATATTGATAATTAACTTCTACGTACTGTAATCTTCCATAAAACAGGGGTATGCTGTATCAACAATTTCCGAAATCAAAGAAAAATACAATATTATAGCCAGTAGTCAATTGGAAAGAAATTCTATTACATTATGAATTGTTTGTAAATATCAAATATTGGAGTGAGAGGATGAAGTAGCAATTATCCGCTTGATGAATATGATAAACAAAATAATGAATTATTAGACGGTGACCCGTTTGAATATCTGAGCTACCTGATTCTGCTATCTGGATATTTCAACAAGTTATCTGTTTCCTTGTTTGTTTTAACACATCATTATGTTCATTAATCGCGTATATTCAGGTGCGTTTATGAAATGTTTACGACATATCCCTGTACAAGTTAGGAAAGGGAACAATCAAAGACATTGTGGTTGCTGGCAATATATATCGAAAAGAATACACATTAATCTGATTTCGATTCCTGAACTGCTAACATCTAACTGGCAACCACTCGATCAAGAAATAAGAGAAAAAGAAACTTGTTGAAATACTTTGCGCTGAGAATTCTATATTGTACCAAAAATATAATATTGAATAAAGTCACGAATAATAATGATATATATTTGATAATTGTGAAATAATTAGAAGCAGGGGAAAATGATGAATTAATAAGGATGAAAGACAAGAAATAAGATAGAATGTTAGAGTGAATATGTTGCTTATGTACATAAACCTTCGTAGAACATAAGTTTTTAATTTGTATTTCTTTAGAATCAATTCTTTTTACTATACGGACGGTTTTGAATAAAAAAGGATTCTTGTGAAACAAAGTAATCAGGATATACAAGATATTCCTTATGCTGCTTGATAGATTTGTGTAGTCATTTTCAAAGTTAAGTAGGAGAGTTGTTTCGAAAGAGCTTGCTTTGTGTAATCAATAAAGCCTGTGTCATAAAAGTAAGTGAACTGACTGGTGTACACTGATATGGTTCAAAGAGGAAGTTTGTCCTTCACATAATCATGACCGACATGATAAAACAATGAGAGGTTTGAGACAAATAGAATGTTTTTCCTAAAGACATAGAAAGTCTACTTTTACAATCTCTGCTGAAGCATCTTCTCTAAAGTAAATGTTTATGAAGATCTTTCTTGGTATTCTAGAGATTCTTTGCATTTTATTGTTACAGTTTAAGATTTCTGTCAACGAAAGCAGATGAATGGCTATTATTGATAAGTATGTGCCCCATATGCCCTGATACGTTCGAGGGTGAGGAGAGTCTGATATCTCTCTTGAAATGCTCTGACATGGCCATATGTATACAGCTACTGCCAGAAATGTTCGGTTTGAGCACTCGGGGAGTATCACAGACCACACACTAATCAAGTGACTTGTGTGGCGCATATATATTTGGTGCCCCTTTGTACCAATATTTGCGTTCAAATAAATAAACAATAAATAAATGTACCATATAAGCCCCTATTAATCCACAACATGAAATGGCCAGTACACCAATTTTCAATTTGGATTCTAATGAAACGAAATAGAAAATTGATTCATTTTATATCCACGAGAATCAAACAAATTTGTAAGAATGACTTGACTGATAAAATTATAATTTTTAAAAGTTAACCATAAATACAGTGTTCGTAAAGAGCAATACCGAAAAGAAAAATTTCTTCGCTGAATAACCCTGTATTCTTCCACAGTGGTAAAATTTATTTCATTCATTATATGATGTTGAAATTTCCAAGTTAAATAAAATACTTCAGTTATCTTATTATAAAGATTTACAAAGCAGATGAATACATCCTAGGGAAATGATTGAACCTGAAAGTGATCAGCGTATCTTGCAAAAATCAATACGAACAATCTCACACATAGGTGTATAGTCAGATATATTGAAGCAGAGATCCATTAAGCTACCTATTACTCTTTATAAATAATGTATAAAATACTTTTCTAGATAGTAAAGATATTTCAAATGATCCTTATTTATAAAAAAAAGCACAAAGTTAACAGACTTATTGCTTTTTTAGATGGCGGTTGGAGGTAGTCAACAGGAAACCCTGGACCAGGGTTTCATGCTACTTGGCACTCGTCAGCAAGGTGTATCTGTAATCTTGAGGGAACTGGTGTTCCCTGGTGGGCTCGATCTCATGTCACCCAGCTTCACAGCCAGAGACGTTACCACTGAGCTATCCGAGCCGTGACCAACTTCCTATAGGACTGAGGTGTAATCACAATTGATTGATAGCTGGGTGATGATCAATGTCATGCTTGTCTAGCCAGGGAGCACCAGTTCCCTCAAGATTACAGGTACACCCTGCTGACGAGTGCCAAGTAGCACGAAACCCGGGTCCAGGGTTTCCTGTTGACTACCTCCAACTACCACCTAAATCTCAATATATAGTGCCCGCAGTGTCGAGTCATTTAAACTGGTGGCCACATTGCAACACGATCGATAGCAATCGATCTGCACTAATAAGGACTAGAAAAGTATGACATTGATCACCACCCAGTGATCAATCAATTGTGAGACTTATTGGTTCTCACAAAGTAACTGGAATATTTGTAGATGATCCTTCTTTTAAATAATTTTTTATCATATTATCTCCATTCTGATAATAATCATGTGCTCCCTAGCGACTAGCTTCAAGATGAATCTCATAGAATACTAATGAGAAGCAGTGATCAGTCAAGTTCAACTTGTGTCGGGTGGAGACAATTATCCACTTCAGATAATGGATGAAGAGTTTCTCAAGATCATGGATCGATTAAATTTAAAAGTTAACACCGTTGGATGCTGGTTCAGTAGTCTAGTTGTTAAGCGTTCGCGAGCGAGACTTAAGGTCTTGGGTTCGAGTCTCCCGTAAAGGATCATGGATGCGCACTGCTGAGGAGTCCTATACTAGAACGAGACGGCCATCCAATGTTTCCAGATTTTCAATGGTGTTCTAACTTACATCGACTCATGAATTCAAATATTAAAATCACTACGATCTCTACAAATCCCTATTCTGATAAAACTAAAAGACCAGTCCAATCGATTATTTATAAGAATCTATCAGTGTTAGTGTGCAGACTATTTCACATTTTGTATATATATATAGACATAAAAGCTGGTTACTATCAAAAACCATTTTGATTGTATGTAAAGATGTAACTAGTTTTATTGAAAAACTGGGGCATCTAAATTCTAATATGATGCGTTTTTTTATTATCTAATTCTGACTACTGAATTCTATGTCCTATTGTATAAACTATAATTGTTATCCCTTAAATGTTATTATTATAGTTTAACTGTCTGCATAACAATCTATTTTAGTTTAATATATATATACTTTATTGTTTGTGATTTAGTGTGTCTTTAAGTGAATTCACTATGATTTGTCCTTGGAAAAAAGAAAGATTACATTAAATAAATTGTATCATTTACCTATCATAAAGATAGAATGGATTGTGAGATAAACTATTGATCGTTTACTAATCTAGGTGCATTTGTTGGCCAATAAGAAAAATCTCTGTATATACACCTACTTGTCCGTAAGAAAAACGTATATATATATATATATATATATATATATATATGGATTCGTAGAGAACATAGATACTGTATCTACTGTAGTTACATTCACCTGTTACATCATCAATAATATCCAACCTTAATCATCGTTAATTTATCCTTCAGTAATTTATCCTTCACTTAATAATGATTAATTAAAAGTAAATTTTTATGGATATTTACAATAATTTAATTTACTTTTGATAAAATCAACCATTTTTTTCTTAAATCTATCAAACATTAAATTTATCCGTCTTTCTTATTTGTATAAATTTTGAAATTGTAAAAATATTATTCTATCTTACATATATAAAAATTAATGAACATGCTTTACGGTGGTCCTCTTGGTACTTATCTTAGTGGTTTATCATCAACATCTTCATCACCATCATCATCTTCAACCAATGCAACATCATATCTTAATTCATCAAGTTCAGTATATAATTCACCTAGTAATAGTACAAATTATTATTCTGGAATAAGTGGATTAAGACGTAGCAGTTCAAGATATCGAAATTCTACAAGTGGTAATAATTTATCAACAACATCAACCTCATTAACTACTACTAATAGTAGTAATATCAGTAATAATAATAGTAATAGTAATACTGTAAGTGGAACTAATCCATATTCATCTTATTATACACCACCAGTAAGAAGAAAATATGGTACACCTGAAGTAAGTTTATGTAGACCGTATAGTTTTTTGTTTTGTTTTTAGATATAATATGAATTGATTGTCAAGATATATGTCTTGTTATAATACCACTATTAATTTATATTTGTTATTCAGTAACTATGGGGATAATTACTTTGAAATATCATCCATAAGTTATTATTTATGAATTAGGATACTGGAATAAATGAGCATCAAACTCATTGTAATTGGTTATTTAGATTCAATAAATGGATTTGATTATGACTTATTGTAAAACAATGTAAATATGTTTAGTTTACTGTTTGAAACGATTAAACAATATAGGTATATTTTTAAATAAGTTAATTATATAAATATATACATATTGTGGTGTATGCTACTTATACAGACAGATATAAGTAGTACGTAACAGGGATCGGGAGTAGAATGGTTACTAGTAGAAGAATAAAATAAAAAGAAGGGGAAGAAAAATAGAAAGCAATCAGAATAACAACAGTATTGGAAGAATAATGAAATGTGTAGAGGACGACTGACAGAAAATATGCAGATGATGTGTTGAATGTATGATTTTGATATTTTACAAAGTTACTGTTTGATTTTGTATACGACAATAAATTGGTGTACCTCACCTAAGTTTTCATCCACTACGCTATGGAATCTTGAAATTATAGATGATAAGTAATAAGGGTATATTATTGTTGCGTGGATTGGTTGGAATTAGACATTAACACGGTTGGATGCCGACTCAGTGGTCTAATGGTTAAGCGCTTGCGCCTGAGACTAATAGGTCTTGGGTTCGAATTTCGCGAGGCAGGCTCGTAGATGCACACTGCTGAGTCCCGCAATAGGACGAAACGGCCGTCCAATACTTCCAGGTTTTCCATAGTCTAGCTTCAATTGACTCATGATATCAACTATTGAAATTATTGTTATATCTACAAAAACCCTTCTGATATATTATTATTATTCATTTAGTTGACAAGGTTTATGATAGATAATAGGTTATTACTAAATAATAAGGTATAATTAAAAATTATCCATCTTTTGGAAATATTACAATATCCACTTAACAATGGTTTTATGGGTAAATGTTTGAGAAAATTCGAAACTTACTAGTCTACATCCTTTATAAATTGGGAACAAATAGATAAATAAATTTTATTAAACTCATTTATTTGATGTGCCTGGTTTCATATGTGTTGGTTAGTGATTATACTCAGTTGCCCAATGTCGGTAACAATTGGTTTCGAGCTGAATAATTATAAATGTCCACAATGTTACTTTGTCATAAGATTTTTTGATTATCCACATGGTTTACAGTCATGGTCATTTGTTTAAATTATATTTTTTCCAGAATAGGAAATGATATAACTATCGCCTTATAAGAGTTAATTAGTCATGATAAGATTAAGTAGATAAGCTACTTATAGATGGTTTTTATCATGAACTAATGATATCAACTAGACAATTATTGAAGTTTTTTGAGTTTAGGTTAATATCATGAATTGACCAATGTTAGACCGCTATTGAAGACCTGGAAGCACTAGTACGGGACTCCTCAGCAGTGTCCATCCACAATCCCTCACGTGGAATTCGAATTAATTGTAAAGGCAAAATGAATATGTATAAATAAACTGAAATTAAATGTATCAGGTACTTGAACGTTTGAGTTCGACTTTTAACCACTTCCCACTCCCCCAAGAAACCTCCTAAACTTAAATCCCTAAAAGAAGAAAAGAGAATGATTGAAAGTTTAGAAAGTTTATTAACAACGGGATAATTTAAATCCCTAATAATAACGATATCAATATCATACCTGTTATACAAGTTAGTGACTATTTGGATTCAGTAGTTTACTGAATATTGCATTGAAAGTTCAAAGCAAAATCTACTGGCTTCAAGTCCCGGTGTGAGAATAAATACTGAGATTCAGATATATCTAACTGATTTCACTAGTAACCACAAATCTATTCATTTTATTTATTATTACAAATTTATTCATATGATTAAATGGTTTAAATGGTTTTTACACTAGTGTTTGATTGAACCACATGTTCTTGAACAACTTAACTCCATTTAGATTCGAAAGTAAAAGAGAGAGAGAGAGTTTGGTTACTAGTTCGAATGTAATTTGAAATTGTATTTTAATGACTTTGGTAACATATGGAATATTTAAATCTATTCAACTAATCAACTAAATAAAGATACCTTTAACTTGTTATTACTAAGTATTATTATCTTAAATTAGTTTCTATGTGGGTACCATTCATGATTTGTATGAATCTAATTTTTTTATTGGTTGTTCATATTTTTGTTTGTTTATTTGATAAATAAAACTGCATTTTGTTATATCATACTTTCAAATTATAAGTAGAATATGTTAAGTTGTTATTTTGTGCTTATGTACTATTTAATGATTGAAGAAGCATTTTAAAGAAGAAATACAATTTATTTATTAATCAATCAATTATTTCTTATTTTTCAACAATAATATTATCCATTCTTATAAGTACTTATATGAAAATTGTTCTAGAAATCAAGATGATATAGAAGAGGTTCTCATCTTTATTATGACATCAAGTTTCCATGAATTTTGATATTCATAAGAATACATTTCCAAACCATATTAGATTTAATAGACTAGTGTAGTCAGGTAAATGTGTTATGTATGCCTAGACACAACTAACCTCGAGTAGTGATACTTGCAAGCGTAGGAGTAGACCTAAGAAAGCCAGATACGATCAAATTAAAGTATGTCATCAATATTTGAAGTCGCTGACTGTTGAGCTGAACCATATTAGCAGATACTGCCCACTTGGTCTGTATCCGAATGAGTTTAGTAACCAATAGTTGGAGAAGTTATGTCAGTTGTATTCGTTCTTTTTAGCCCCTTAAACCTTGAGTTGGAAAATTATATTGCAGCATTTGTTTCTCAAATTTAGTCTGACTTCTCGAATTATATATTTTATATCTAATCTTTTCTACTATCATTAATATTGTGACTACTTATAATAATCTGGCAAACTGTCTTGGAAATTTTCATAACTTTTTGCTAATATTGTGTGGCAACTTGAATTGATGCACATATACGTCATATTCTACGTTGCTTATGACTTATTGACTGATAATTATGGTAATATTTACTCTGTTGACTTATGAACTTGGTTTATAATTATTAGGAACCAGGTTTAGATTAAAGACCTAAGTATATCAAGTTCAATGTTTTATTGAAAATTGACTTAAATCTCTAGTGAGGACAAGATTAATATTATTGGTTTAGGGTTTGTGACAGTAATTGAGCCACTTCAAAACTTAAATTAAAATTTCACAAATGAAGTTATAAATAGTGGACTTCTGTTATGCTTGAAGTGAAGCAGGTAACCACAAATGTGACTGGCAAAATATTAAGCGTTATCATCAATCAACCATCGTTGAAAATTTATATCACTCAATTTTAATGCATTATCGTAAGAATAAATTGTTCCAGATTTAACGATGCAGTCTTTTAGTATTCTTTGTTCTTTACTGGTTCCTCCAGTTAATATTAGTTTGCGATATAAACAATCTATCATTAAATATGTCTCCGTGGTTACAGAGTTCAATTTTCAGTCACAAAGATGTAGGATAAAAGCTTTTCCATCTATTTTGGTTTAGCCAAACATAGAATCACTATCCTTAACATTTAACCAAATACATAAATCAATTCTATACCCAGGTAAATGAATCATTAAAAAATTCACCTATGACTGTATAAGCTCGATAGATGTATCGATTAATTTAGACTGAATTCGCACAACTATTTTTGCAAAATAATAAACATTTCTTGTTTCCCAGTATTAAATATAGACAGTACACGGAATACAGTGTAGAAAGTGGATTTATTTTTTTCAAAATAACTACGTCATGAATAAACATTACTGAAATCTCTATACCATATATCTTCATACGTATTCGGTGTAACTATGTATAGTGTGTGCTTAATTTCTTTCAATACGTCAATAGTTGAACGTGTGTGGTATCTCAGAATAAGAAATATTAAACCAAAGAAAATCGTACGGTAATATACACTAAGGTTTTTACTAAATATCTGAATTCTTCTACTACTGAAATCGATTCAAAGTTTTCAGTAATAAGAATCGGGCAGGTCTCTTGAGCTATATTAATCCTTGTGATATGTTTTTCCATGATGATTCATCTTTTTCTTAAAAGCGTTCACCTATAAGGCTGGTATAAATTGTTACAGTAGAATGCTTTCAATATTGATCACTAAGTACTCAATGAGGTCATGAAAATCCTAATCTGAGTTTCTTTGGTTCAAACATTTGAATCATTTTCCATATGAGAGATTGTAAAGACCACTTACTAATTCAATTCCCACAGAGTAAACACGCTCAAGTATGTTCGCACCCTTTACAATGGATCATATGTTAAACTTTTCATTTTGTTACTGGTCAGAACTCAATAGTCCGTGTCATATTCAAATACACTGAAAATTTATGAATGTTTAGCTATTAAATAAAATTTATTCATATTTGACGAAATCACATATTGGAAGATAAAATTGAACTCCTATATGATCAGCAGTGCAATGTAAACTTCGTAACTTTTTGTTTTAATGTATCAAACAATGCAATTTTCTAAAGATGGCTTATGATGACTTTTCGAATTTCATTGAGTGAGATTGTAGATATTGTTTGTTGAATAGTCCAATACTAAGACGTAACATCTCTCAGCTAATTCCCTCTTTTTCAGTAGTTGTTTAGCTGAGATCAATCTGTGATGTTGACTTTAAAACTTTATATTTTGATTTTTGAAGACTATGATCACACTAATTATTGAAAAGTTTTAGTATATGTAGTGATTACTGGACGATGATAAAAAGCTGTTTGTTGTTTCTTGAAAGGAATTTCCGTTGTATGATAATAAGAGGCTGGCAAACGTGAGAATTATACAACAGTGCTACTCCGTTGCATCTTGGATAATTCGTTGGGGACAGTTGGATGACGCTGAGTCGAATCTCA